CCTTCCCTCCTTTCTTCTCTCCTCTCCTTCCTTCCCTCCTTCCTTCCCTCCTTTCTTCTCTCCTCTCCTTCCTTCCCTCCTTCCTTCCCTCCTTGCTTCCCTCCCTCCTTCCTACCCCCTTTCTTCTCTTTCTTCTCTCCTTCCTTCCTTCCTCCTCTCCTTTCCCTTCTCTCCTGACCTGAAGTGACTTTAGAGGTCTTCTAGTCCAGCCCGCTGCTCAAGCAGGAAAATCTATACCATTTTAAATAAGTGACTGTCTAGACTCGTCTTAAAAACCTCCAGTGATGGAGCACCCACAACATCTGAAAATTGGTTAATTGTCTTCACTGTTAGGAAGTTTCTCCTTAATTCCAGGTTGCTTCTCTCTTTGGTTAGTTTCCAACCATTGTTTCTTGTCCTGCCCTCTGGTGCTTTGGAGAATAATGTCTCAGATTCACACACCAACACCATTCCTGTTATGCTTATCTGTCTCCTTTATGCATAGATATTTCAATGATGATTGAAATAAAAAAAAAATATTTCAGATGATTGATATCATTAAAAAATGGTTTTAATCTCGGCCTCATTGGATATTGAGGGGTCCCTTGGTAGGCTCTGAGCTTGTTTGCTTTCTTGCAGATATTTCATTACCCAAACTAGGTAACAACATAAGTGCTACTCCTGATGATGTTACCTAATATGGGTAATGAAATGTCTGGAAGCAAGCAAGCAAGCTCAGAGAACACCAAGGGACCACTCACGTCAACCCTGAGCTACAAATATTCTCCTTTATCCTTGGAAGTTATTAGAAAAATATATTTATGAATGGTTTTGAACCAGAAAGCATTTGGACCAACTATGAATATTGATGCCAGTGGCAGCTCATCTCTTACCTTCTCCATGATCCTGTCCATTTGGCGGTTCTGTGTATCAATCTCATTGCCCATATCTAGAGCCATGTGACGGAGGTTTCCAATGATGCCGCCAACCTGTTCCAGGTTTTCATCCATCTCACCTTCTCGGGCATCATTTGTTACCCTGCGGAAGAATGAAAATTAAAACTGGACTGAACCATATCCAAGGCTTGGATGTTTATCCAAAAGTGAAGTTTCTTTATTGATGCAAAGGAATGCTATTTGATGGCCATATCTAAGTTTTTCTGGGCTTGTATAAAGACAAACATCGAGCAAAATAAAGGGATAAAGCAGTGGTGAAATTCAATTTTTTTTTACTATCGGTTCTGTGGGTGTGGTTGGTGGGCATGGCAGGGGAAGGATACTGCAAAATTTCCATCCCCACCCCACTCCAGGGGAAGAATACTGCAAAATCTCCATCCTCACCCCACTCTGGGGCCAGTCAGAGGTGGTATTTGCTGGTTCTCTGAACTACTCAAAATTTCTGCTACCGGTTCTCCAGAACCTGTCAGAACCTGCTGAATTTCAGCTCTGGGATAAAGGATATAATCTTCCACAACTTCCA